CCTATGCTACTGGGGTTCATTTTAAATCCTCTTGTTTGTTGCTGGTATACAGGAAAGCAGCTGATAATTTTGTAGTAACCTTGTAATCATTTGTGGGTTCCAGTGCTTCGTCAGTTCAGTTGGATTTTCTCTGTGGACGATCATGTTACCTCCAACAAAAACCAGTTCGGTCCTTCCTTCCCAATCTGCATGTGTTTTACTTCCTTTTCTTGTCTTATTACATTCCCTATGACTTCTAGCACACGTTGAAAAACAGCAGGCTGGGATGTCTTTACTTTCTTTGTTCCTTCTTTTGGTCAGAAAGCTTTGAGTTTCTCATCAATAAGTAAGATGTTAGCTACATGGCTTTTTGTGGATATCTTTTTTAAGTTGAGGAAATACCCCTGTGTTCCTAATTTACTGAAATTTGGGGCAGGGGAGGTCAGGAATAGAGTGTTAAATTGTTTGCTCGTTAATTGCTTAGTCGGTTAGTTGGTGGGTTGCTCTTGTATATTCCAGACTGACTTCAAACTTGCTACGCAGTCAAGAATGACTTTGAACTTCTGATTCTCCTGTTCCCACCCCCCAAGTGCTCAGATTGCTGGAGTGGTCCGCCATGACTTGTTTTTATGGGTGCTCGGTATGGAACCCCAGGCTTGAGAATACAAGGCAAGCTGGGGATGTGTCTCCTAACTAAGACACACCCCCAGCCCAAGTGCTGGATTTTGTCAAATATCCTTTATCATCTGTTGATGTGATCATATGATTTTTATTTTTTTCCTAGTTTATTGAAGTGATGGGTTCCATTGATTAAATTTAAAATGCTGAACAGCTTTGCATTGCTGGGAGAAATCCCACTGGGTTGTGATATGTAGTGAGTTTTATATATTGTTAGGTTTGGTTTGACAAAATTGTACTGAATATTTTAGAATCTATATTCACAGGAAATAATCAGACTCCTCTTCCTGTATCATTGTCTGGTTTTAGGTGACATTGGCATCATAGAATCACTTAGGAAATATTACTCACTCCCCCCCCCATCTCCTAAAGATTACTGTAGAGAATTAATGTAATTTCTTTCTCAAATATTTGGTAAAATGTATCAGTGGGCCATTATGAACCTGTTTTGCCCTCTGTTTTGAAAGATCATTAATGATTGATTTAATCTGCTAAATAGCTACCTGTCCATCAGTTTGTATATTTCCTTCCTGTATGAATTATGACTGCTTACAGAAAGTTGAACACTTTCAACCCACAAAGTGTGGTTAAGTTGAATTTCCATTTTCATTGAATTCAGGGTACTTTTAAATTTCTCTCAGGGTTTTTCTTTTGATCTGGTCTTTTTACGGCCCATTATTTAACCCCCAAGTGTCCGAAGATTTCCCAGCTATTTTTTTCACTGTTGATCCTACTTCCATTTTGTGATCTGGGAGCATTGTATAGTTCTCTCCACTGGTTAGCATTTTATTTATTTATTTATTTATTTATTTATTTATTTATTTATTTATTTATTTATTTATTTTTAATTTTCCGGAGCTGAGGACCGAACCCAGGGCCTTGTGCTTGCTAGGCAAGCGCTCTACCACTGAGCTAAATCCCTAGCCCTCGTTTTATCTTTTAACAGCAAGCCTGTAATCTCATCACTTTAGAGACTCAGGTGAGAGGAAGGCAGGTTCAAGACTGGCCTGAATTACGTAGCAAGACTCTGTCTCAGAAACAGGAAAAGAAACCACCACAAAGATTTGTGCATAAATCTTTGCTGGATTCTAGATTATTTCTATAGGAGTAAGGAGTCTATAACTAAACTATTCAGCAAATATTTGTGAAACATCTTCTGTGGGTCAAGTATATGCGAAAGACACCATCCAGCATTAAAATTCCTTTTTAATTTATAAGTTTGTTTGTTTTTTTAAATGTGTGTAATATGTGTGTGCAGGTACCTGAAGAAGCCAGAAAATGGTGCTGGATCCCTTGGAGTTGGAGTTACAGACAGCTGGGGCCTGCCAAACATGGGTGCTGGGACCTGAACTCTGGCCCTCTGCAAGAGCAGCAAGCACTCTTGACCACTGGGCCATCTCTAGAAACTCCCAGCATTCAAAATTCCAAGGCAAGGGCTGTCAGATAAAATACAGAATGCCTAGCTAAATTTGAATTTCAGATAAACAATGAAAATTTTCTTATCAAAAGTAGTCCCAAAGACATTGCCTGGAGTCAATTTAGCCTCTAAAAAAAAAAAAATAAGAAGAACAGTATTCATTGTTTGTATGTGATTCAAATTTAACTGGGGACCTTATCTTCTGTTTGCTAAATCTAACAACCACATCACAGGTACAGTTCCCAGAAGTGAGTCAAAGCCGATGACCATCTTCAAGGTTCTCAGCACATGGCCAAGAGCATTGTGTTCAGAAAAGTAGGGCAGGTCTTCTCTGCTCAAAGAGCAAATGAAAAGGCCCAAATTCCCACAAGAGGGGCAACTCTCAATTATTTCCTTTCAAAATAAACAAAAGGGACGGCAAGATGGCTCTGTGGGCACTGCCAAGCCTGATGACCTGAGTTTGATCCCTAGAACCGGCCTGGTGGAAGGAGAGCATCAACTCCCACAGCTTGACCTCTGACCTCCACACATGCACTGTGACTCACACACACACACACACACACACACACACACACACACACACACACACACGAATTAAATAAATATAAAAAAAGCTTGGATTATCACTAGCAGCCTTTTGCATTTCCATTTGTGAATACTGCGTTTCTATCCTTTGTTCCCTGGCTTTTTTTGTTTTCTTTGCCAAATCACCTGAACACTCGTGTGTTTGCATGTGTACATGTGTTCATGTGGGTGTGTGCACATGTGAGGGTGGGTGTGCACGTACATGTGTGTGCTTATGTGTGCAACGGTCTGAGATTGACGTCAGGGCTCTTCCCCTAATGCCCTCCACCTTATATGTTGAGACGGGGCCCCTCACGGAGGCTGATCTGTACTTTAGATGGAATGGCTGACCGACGAGCTCCGGTGAGCTGCCTGTCTCTGCCTCCCCAGAACTGGTCACACAGATGCATGCCACATCACCTGGCTTTTTACATCCGTGTTAGGGATTTGAACCCATACCCTCATGGCTGTGCGGCAAGCTCTTTTCCGATTAGGCCATCTTCCCAGCTCCTTGTACGAACTCTTAAAGAATATCCCTCTTATGTATTTATTTCTCCAAGTGTTTTTTTAACTCTTGCCTTTTAATTTGGTTTACATTATTTTCCAAAGTAAAGCCATTTAAGCACCTTATGCATTCAATCCCTACGTCTTTCATATGGTTGCCATTGTTTTTAGCCTACAATGGTTTTCTTACAGACTAGCATGGCATTCACTTACATTTTCTTTGAGAATCTGTGTAGGATTTTTTTTAATGTGTTTTGCATTTAACTCATTAAACCCTAAGAGGTCTCTCTGGAAATGGTACACAATAAGATTCTAAATTCCCCTTCCCCTTCAAATCGCTAATGTGGCTCAGCTTTGTTCAAATAAAATCCTTCTCGGCTGGTGGTGGGGCATTCATTCCTTTAATCCCAGCATTTAAGAGGCAGAGGCAGGAAGACTCTGAGTTTGGGGCCAGCCTGGTCTACTGAGAAAGTTCTAGGACACACACACACACAAATTGGTTTTTCAATGATACATGGTATGGTATCTCTTTAATCTTATACATTAAATTGGAAAAAAAAAATTCCAAGCTGGCCATGGTGGCACATGTCTTTAATCCCAGCACTTAGAAGGCAGAGGCAAGTGGATCTCTGTGAGTTCGAGGCCAGCCTTGTCAACACAGTGAGTTCCAGGACAGCCAAAGCTACATAGTAAGACCCTGTCTCAAAAAACCAAAGACCAAAATCTAGTTTATTTTATTTATGACCTTATTTATAATATTTAGTCTCCTATAAAATGAGGATACATTGGGATAATAACAAAATACTATACTTGTGGCTTCATAGTCAAAATTCTGTGGAATAACCGCACATTACTTCTCTTTTGTTTTAAGGGGTTAGGTCTCCTTGCGCTTCCCAGACTGATCCCAAGAATTCTGAACTCAAGCAATCTTCCCGCCTCAGCTTTCTGAACTCTCACAATCATTTCTATCTGCCAGAGGAAAACACAAATAAATGTTTGAATTCGAATACACACAATGCAAAATGCCCTCTGAGGTCAGAAAAAAACACTTCAAATCAGTGAGATTGAGCTCAAAAATAGCAAGAAAGCATTCAGAGAGAGAGAAAAGTAGGGTGCTGGACACATTGCTCAGCTTTGCCGAACCTTGAACAAGTTATGTAGTCTCTCTGGAACTCAGGTTCCTCGTTGCTAAAATGACAGGGTTGGGCTAGTTGACAGCCAAGCCCCTTCCTGCAATGACATTTACTGACAGTCATGCCCCTGTGGGGAATATCAGGTTATGGAAGAAGCGGGTCTGTGTGTCAGTAAGCAGGCAGCTCTGTCATTAGAAAACCAAGCAGAGCACTGTCCTAGGATTGATGACCAGGAAACTGTGAACCAAAGTCAGTCAGTCTGGAGGTCTCCGGGGGCAACCCTGGCATCAGGCATCTCAATGGAACAGGAAGGCGCTGGACCTTTAGCTCAGAGAACAATGGAGGGATTAAAGCCTCAGAAAGAGGGCCCTCGGAGGAAAATGTTAAAGAAATAATTCCTTAGGCTAGAGAAGGATATATCTGATGGATCTAGCCTTGAACTCTGAGGGCTACAGCAACTGCTTTCTAGAGGACATGGCTGCTTTATTGCAGTAGACCCACTCAGGACAGCTCTTAAGTCATTCAGGGCTAAGAACATGAGCGTAAGCGGGGTTCACGGGAGGAGACACGCTGTGGGGGGCCCAGCTCTTGCTCCCACAAGTGGTCCCTCACTAAAACTCTGCTCTGCTCTCCATCCACTATGTCTCCCTGCCAGTTACCACCTCATTGTGAGGTCAGCTTCCAGATGGACCCCACCCCACCCTCCGCATGACTTCCCAGTCGCTGTGTCTGCGGCCCGTTGGCACGTTCCTTCCATTTCAATTCTGGACTCCCCAGAGTGGATTCATTTATCCTAGCTTATTTTTCAATGTCAAGCCACATCAGTCACCAATGATTGCCAGCTAGCCAATGAATGGGTCGTCTTCGAGCATCCTGGCCCAATCAGGGCGAAGAAGAGGAGAGGGCAGACATGTGCCCGAGGTCATGACTGTGTGGGGTATAAGAACAGATTGGGTCAGTATGTGAGCAGACTGGCCATGATGGACACCTTCAGCAAAGAGGCCAGTGTCTTAACATGACACCGTATGAGAACAAAATAAGTCTGACCCTGAACTTTTTATACAGGAACACATTGTAAGAACCACTCAGAACAACCTCTGAAACCCTGTGAGATTCCTGTTTCTCTGAGGCATGCAGATGAAGCTGCCTTGGGCTGGGGCTCAGCTTCAGGGCTTCTTAAAGTTACCTCTTTGTTTCTTAGCCTTGGAGAGTAAAGAGCAATGGTTTTCAACCTGTGGGTCTCAACCCCTTCGGTGGGTCAAATCTCAGATATCCTGCATATCAGATAATTACATTATGATTCACAGCAGTAGCAAAATTACAGTTATGAAGTAGCAATAAAAATAATTTTATGGTTGGGGGTCACCACAACATGAGGAACAGTATCAAAGGGTCGCAGCATTAGGAAGACTGAGAGCCACTGGTAATGAGTATAGCCACTCCCCTCTTACGAGTCTGATTTCTATATCAAAAATGTCTGGCCTTTGCTGAGGGGAGGCTGGCTGATTGAGGACTGTATAAAGCACTGGATCTGATCATTGCTAACCGGAGGACATCAGAAAACAATGCAAATACCTCTGGGCCTCTCTGCATTGGCTTAGCCTATGTTCACCTACCTTGAATATCCAGTTTCTGTCTTTTCTTCTGAGCCAATTTACAACTCAGTACTTTTACCACTGACATGATTAAGTTTGGGAGGAAAAAAAAAAAACCCTCAATGACATCAAATTCAAAGGTTTAATGAGTATAGACTTCAAGTCAGAAGAAAGTTCCCTCTACCCAGAGCACAGGTACCCACATACCTCGCTCTCCGAAACCAGAGCCTGGAGATGAGCCAAGAGCTGTCTAATGCACCCAAGCTAAGCCCATATTGGGGTGCTTAACAAATCATACAACCAAAGCAACTGTGCCCTGGATGGTCTGTGCCCCTTTAAGACTGACTGGGTGAGTCCTGTGGACTAGGGAAGCCTGGGTTCCTTGCTCATGAGGTGTCAGGATCTTTTCGGTCACACAGAAGTTGAACAAGTTTGTGTAGATGGTTTCTCTATCCAGAGCAGACCAGAAGAAGTGTATTAGACTAAAAAGAATGGGTTCGCCAGGTTGCGGCAGGTGATACAATCTTTTCCTTGACATCAAGGGAAAGATTCACTGCTGGCTTGCAAAAGAAGAGATAAGATGATTTTTAAAAAGAAATAAAGAGAGACCTTATACTGTTCTTCCAGAGGACCTAAGTTCAGTTCCCAGCACCCACATTAGATAGGTCACAACTGCCTGTAATTAGTTTCAGGGAATCTGATGCTTCTGGCTTCCACGGGTACCCACACTCTCATAAACACACCCTCACACAGACACACATATTTATACATAATTTAAAATTAAATAAATATATTTTTTCAATATAAAAAAAGACCCATGAATCCCCAAAAGAACATAAATACACATATCTGAAGGTTTGGGTGTGACTGGAATAATAGTATATTGACTAATAGTTATTAAAGTGACCCTAAGAAGAATTTTTAAGTATTAAATTAAAATAAAAATATCCCAGCTGGATATGGTGGCACACACCTGTAGCCCTATCTACTTAGGCGGTTGAGGCAGGATCGACTGCTGGAGCTTATGAGTCCACTCTCAGCCTGGGCAACACAGTGAGACCCTGTCTCAAAACAAAACAGATCCCAGCATATTCTGCACCAAACTCTATGACATGGATGACATTTTAAAAGACAAGCTTTCATCCCAAATGATTGCATTTTGAAAAGTGTGTTACTTACAAGGACAGACTAAGCTGACTGGGGCGTTCTGCCATCTAAATCAGCGTGTGCTGATCTAGATAACTGAGATTTCACCAGCGTTTTGTGCAGACCCCTTAGGAAACTTCCTAAAGGACAGCGAGGCACCTAGTCAGCCAGGAAAATGCGGTGACTTTGACTTATATGCTATTTGGAATCAGTCAACGAGCAGGGCCTTAAGGAGGTTTTACTGTATTTGGTTTGCAGACTCTGCTTGGCACAGTCACTTTAAAAGGCTGCCTGCCTTTGAACTAATCCTCTATTTATAATCCAGCTGGAGAAAGGCCTCTGCAATGTATACACATTCCTAGAATTTACAGAGTGCTGTTCACGTAAGCCCCACATCCAGAGCCCTGCCGGGACCTCTCCCCCACCAGAGAGCACCCCGCACCATCCCGGAAGCATCTGGGTGCTGTGGGAGACAAGCTGCCTGGCATGCCCAAGAATGCACCCCCACATTCTTGGTGGGGAGCACAGGGCACGTCTGAGGCCGAGGCATGAGCTGGATTAGGCTCAGTAAACACCATCCCTCACTCCTGACAGGCTGCCCTGCTCAGACAACCCTCTCCTAGAGGCCAGGGGCCAAGGCCTCATGTACAGCCTGCCCCCTTCCAACCATTCCTTTCTTATAACTCATTCCCTCCCCCAAAACGACAACGCCAACTTCACATTTTCCTCTTTTCCCCGCTCACACAAATTATTGCAAGTCATGGCAGTCTAAATTTAGCCCCCAGTCTGTTTTCCAGATGCTGGCTCGTCAGCCAGCCTCGACATTTTCCTGATGTGGCTCCAGCTGCCTCTTTGCTCTGGCTTTCTTTCCTCTCTCCTCTACCTCACCTTTTTATCCCTCCCTGATACTCTCCCCCCACACCCCTGACTCCCAGAATCGTTAGTCTTTCCGTGCCTTTCCAGTTCAAAGGTAAGTTCTAGAATCAAGATCCAAAGCCTGACGGCCCCATCCCCGGCCCCTCTAATAGTACAGGCAACAGGACAGGGAGATCATCCAGGAAACAGGACCCCTGCCAATCAACTTTCCCAATGTGTGCTCAACCCTACACATACTTACTTGGTCCAGAAGCCAGTGGACCTCCTTGTCTACTTCTGCCTCTTGAGTCCTCAGTGCCAGAGTGGCTAAAAGCTCTCTCCGAGAAGTTGACAGCCGGGTTCCCGGATGACAGTTGTTGGAGCACACTGGAAACCATCACTTCCTTTGGGTTAAGTAATATCAATTCCTTTTGCCTTTCTTCATCAGAAGAGGTGTCCAGAGTTTAATCATGTTCATGATTCTCTCTGTACAGCCTCCAAGTTGGCCACATACCTTGTAGGATGTAGAGCTTGCTCCCTCTCAGCTAATGAGGGTTTGATTCCTGTCGCATGAGTGTATGGGAGCAATTTCCCTGAAACTTTATCAAAGGCCCCTACTTTAAAAAGAAGTGATGTGTGTTCACACCCAACTTGAGGTATACTCTAATGATACATTGGTCTTTTTCTACCCTAAAAGCAAAGCATTCGATTCATGGGCATATTTTATTCCATTGTTTTCAATGTGCTTGTGCATGATAGTCAACTTAAGCCGGGCGGTGGTGGCGCACGCCTTTAATCCCAGCACTCAGGAGGCAGAGGCAGGC